CATATATCGTTAATGTATAATATAAATAATTTAGGTCCCAAAACAGAACCCTGAGGCACTCCACATACAATATCCAGCTCACTCGATTGGTATTCACCCAACTTCACAAATTGACGCCTCTGTGTCAAATAACTTCTGATCCAATTCCAAGCCATTCCTCTGATCCCATATTTCTCTAACTTATCCATTAATAGTTCATGATTAATTGTATCAAATGCTTTTTTTAGGTCAATAAATATCCCCATCGTATATTTTTTCTCATCCATAGCACTTGTAATGTCCTCCATCAGGTCAGTAATGGCCAAGGATGTCGACCTGTTCGACCTAAAACCATATTGGCAATCAGATAAAATGTTATGTTTGTCAATAAATGTATCTAATTACTTTGATTATCAAAGTCATAATAGTGAGAATCTTAGACTGTCGCTGTTGACAATGCGTGGCTCTACGCAGCAGTCGGAGCTTGAACTCTCTGTGTGGGAAAGGGCTGAACAGCTTTTCTCCATAGAGCTCAGTATCAGTCCTCTGTTCTTCTACTTATTGCTGTTTTATTTTTACATTATGAGCTCATTGCATTTGTGTTGTGTTGCCATGTCACAAAATAACAACACTGGGGGATTCCAACTCATACAAACCACTGAAGCATTTCATGATGTGATAATCAACACAAATCTACCAAGGCACTTTCATATATTCTATCCATAGATGCAATGACAACTGTTGTCTACATTATGTTATATGTTATATTATGTTCAGAGAACAAAACGTTATATCTAAAAACTTTATAATGCAGGGCATAAACTAGTCCTTCTTTAAATTACCAAGGCATTAATTTAGTTATTAAATGTTCTGTTCCCCCAGAATCACTGAAAACATAATGTACTTTCCCACTTGCCTCTATTATTTATTGTATCCAGCTGCAGTTTTTAAGAAAACGAAAGGAAAAACAATTCTCATTCCAAGGGCATTAAATACCGACAATATGTCAAGTACCTAACTTTTGGTTTCTGTATGACACACGGAGGGTTTTCAATGTAGTATCCAGTCACTTCACTTCCTGATGCTCCGAGCAAGATGGTATTATATCTATCCATCCATCCATCCATTATCTATACCACTTATTCCTGAATAGGGTCACAGGGGGCTGGAGCCAATCCCACTGACACTGGGTGAAAGCAGGGTACACCCTGGACAGGTCACCAGTCTATCACAGGGTATTATATGTATGATAAGAAGCAAAAGGTACTTGACAAAATGTCAGTAGTTGACTCCCTGGAAATGAAAACGTGTTGGAATGCCGTATACCGTTTTGATTCTTTCATAAGTAGTTGGTTATTTCTGGATTATACTTAGTTCAACATGTAGACCAATGATGGAAAAATAATATAACTAGACTTTGTTTCTGTTTCCATATATTACACCCATTAGGTGACCACACAGGACTGACACTGCACTCTCCCAGCAGATCTTTATTGTTATTTTGTGCTTGTACCATGCCAGCTCATGTTTCTTCACACATAGGAAACAGAGGTTTATAGATTCATTTTGAATTATGGTGCAAAGGTTGTTAAACCAATCTGAGGAAATGAGGGTATTTATATTTCCCGTAGAGCCTTTTTTTTAAACTCCAAACACTTCTAGTGTCAGACTGATCCCTTAATGTCCCTCCAGCTACACTGAAATATGTTAGAACAATGAAAATCAGGTTAATGTTGATTAAGCATCAGCGCTATTGCAGCAGCAGCGGCTTTAATGTTCAGAAGGTGATGAACTATAGACTGACAGTTGCCTGCTTGCATTTCAGCTCTGTGTCTTGTCCTGTCCACACCTGTGGTAGTGGGACCAGAATGCCCCAAAGGATTTGAACGGGTCGCCGATCAATGCAATGGTATGAAAAACATATGTATCTTAGCACATGAGCGTGTGTGTTTAATTGTATTTATTGCATTCATCTTTGTATTCAGACGTAAGAAAGTGAAAATATAAAACATGGCTTACTATATTATTTCTACAAAAGATTCAGTCTCAAATGTCTATTCAAGCACTAATTTATATGATGTTGTTCCTTTCCACATCCTTGTCTTTCTATGAAGATACTAATGAATGTGATACTAAAGAGATATGTGGAAAAAATGCAGAATGTTTCAACACGAATGGTAGCTTCCACTGCAAATGTGTTACTGGTTTTAGATCATCAACAGGGAATGTGACTTTTTCAGCATCAACATCTCAGAAATGTCATGGTAAGTCATCTTGTATATTGCATCAGAGAGTCTTCTTCTTCACTATATCAAAATACCGTGGTAGATAACACTATGCACAGGATAAACACTAAACTGTATGTACTATTGTTATTTCTTGTTAATGTGATTTTTTAGTATGTGTTTTTAAAGTTTTTTTAAACATTGTTTAAAACATTTTTTTCCTAAACATTGTTTCTAAGGTTTTAAAACAGTGATAGTTGAATGATGGTTTTGTTTTTCATCTATTTTTAAATGTCTTCGTCCTATTCATATAGACATTGATGAATGTAAAAATAAAACGGATTGCGGTCCGAATGCAACATGCAGAAACACACCAGGCAGTTATCAGTGTGTTTGTGACGCTGGCTTTGGACTTAAATCTGGCAAATTTCACTTCTTTGGGACTCAGGAACAATGTGAAGGTGAGTGCTACATGATGGTGAAAAATTAATGATAAAATCAACATAAAGTGTGTCAAGAGACAACGGGGCCTGACAAAGGCTCCTTGTCAAAGCATCTTGGTTTTGGTCTTAACATTAAAGTTGCTCAAAACACTCCAAGTGTTGCTGGACTTTTTTTGGACCACCATGTGCCAACAGAACAGCTTCAGCTTTGGCATTGATTCTCTGAATTTTACTGGAGGGATAAACACCATTCTTCAAAAAGATTTTCCCTCATTTGGTGTTTTGATAGAACATGAGTCCAAAATCTCCCAGAAGTGTTCAATTTGGTTGAGATTTGGTGACTGCAGAATTGTTACTGAGTCAAGTTTTGCATTGTTGTATAAAATAACTAAAGAAGGGTCCTGATATTTGCAAGGTGGTGGAAACTATTCTGCTTTAAGAAAATTGTATTGAAACAAAGTTTTAAAAAATTATGGCTTATGCTAGTTGATCCTTTAGAAATACATATTTTTGGCATAATAGTTTGGTTACAATGCAGGCTGTTTTAGTGAATGGCTGTCCTCTGCTGTGGCTCTGTCCAGCCTGCTTAATGTTCTTAGTTTGATGTATTATCTTTAAAAACAACTATGATGATCTCTTCTAATATAAACATTCCAGTTGACCAGGATATTTATTTTTCTGTTAGCGCTGACTGAAACACAGTTCAACCATTTACATCTCCCTGGTTTGTTATCGTTTTAGACATATGTGTCATTAATAAAACAATCTGCGGAAATGGAACCTGCCACCATGGAGCCAGTGGCCATTATTGTGTATGCCATGCAGAGTCCTCTAACTATGGCAGAAAAGTGTCTGGCTGCACTGGTAAGAACATTCAACAGCATTCGACATTTTACAACATTCATTACTGCATCCATGTTTGTTCAGTAACTCTATAAAAGGAATGTTTATGAGTAAAGCTGTTCTCATGATATGACTACCGTGGTCTTCAGCAACTACATTTAATGAATCAAACCTTGTGTTTCTTCAGCATTAAACTGTGATGTATTCCAAAATATGACACAGGTAACTCCACACCAGAAACACTTCTGTCATTGTTAAACATGCATGTAAAATGCACACTGCCTCCTACTTGTGTTTCATTCCTTTCAAATTGTTCTCCTAGACATTTGACAGTGCACATGATCTTGTGATGCAATTGAAAACAATCTGTCTGGGACTTACAAAAGGTGACAGTCTGACTCAATTGGATGGAAAGGATATACTGAAGGTATAGTTGTACATATATACTGTATATATAGAAATGTACTGTAATAAAATAATAAAATCCAGTTCTCCATAGCAAGCACAGAAACAAGATGCTCTGCCCCCTTCAAGCTCTGTCACATGATGTTTTGATGTCTTTTAGACTGTTTTTGTTAGCTTGAGGTAGTATGCAGCCTGAAAGTCTGCCTCAGTCTAATTCTGTCTCTCATTTCTCCAAATCCCCTTCCTCTTCTGTGGCTTCAGAAACTGTTGTCTTTGATCAATGCGCTCTTGTCCAGTGGAAACTTCAAATATAACAAGAAAGTCTCCTACTTTCTGGACATAGTGGAAGAGACTTTGAGGCTTATATCACCCTTGATAAAGACCCCAGGGATAAATATGTCTTCTACTCACACAGGTTAAATATGAACTGACATACAAATGGGTCACAAATTAAAGGAAAACCTAAATCGAACAACAAACTATTTAGTAAAGTGCCTCCAGAACAGCTTCAGTGCTCCTCTGTTGGAGGTAGAAAACCTCATTCTTCTGAAACAAATTCCCACACTGTGTTCATCCCACTGTTTCATACTCACTAATATAATTTAATACTAAATCATCTAGGGCCCGATAGAACAATTAGTCAGTGAATTGATAGAAAATTAGCTGGGCACAACTTTGAAGCAAAAACCATCAAAGTTTGTACTCATTTATTCAGGTTTTTCCTTTAATTTGTCACACATCTGTCACATTAAAATGACAAAGATGTGCTCAATTCATTCATAGCTCATGAAAAGCTGATTGTTATATCTTGGTCCAGAGGTGCAGCTGCTTGTACATAGAGGGGCTGACTTACCCCAGGGAGCTGTGACGTTATCAGCTAAACAAGTTCAGCTGGACATTCAGCTGAAGACAGCTGCAGGAGATCTCTCCTATTACCCTGGTAATGATCATACCTAATTAAATCAGTTGTAAGCACTTTGATTAAGACATATATGACTAATTAAATGAACATTATCCTGCTATGATTTTGTAAGGTTTTACAACAGTGTCCATGCTGAGTTATGAAAACCTGGAAGACTCTGCAAATGGCTTTTTTGATGGAATGAGACCAGCGGAGAACCAAAGCTTTAAGATCAATTCTAAAGTTGTGACTGTCACAGTCAGTAACAGAAACACAAGTCACCTTGAAGAGCCTGTCAAATTAACTTTTCATCACCTGGAACAGGTAGCATACATTTTGCTATAAAGGATAACAATCAAAATGTGCTTTTTTTTTTTTTACTCATAATGGCTGTTACCTCTGTTTTGTTTGACAGTCTAAGGAAACACACATGTGTGCTTTCTGGGATTCTTCAGAGGAAGGAGGGACATGGTCTGCTCGAGGCTGCAGTGTGGTGGAGTCCAACTCTAAATTCACTGTGTGTTCCTGCAACCATCTGAGCAGCTTTGCTGTGCTCATGGCTCTCTATGAGATGGAGGTTAAAACTCATGCATTTAATGATGATACACTTGTAGTTGAGAGTTTATAGTAGAACCTTCAGTCTATTTCTGTGGATTGTAAAGTCACCCCCCTTTCTTTCTTTCTTTCTCTCTGCCTCAAAAGGACAAGTTTGAGCTGCAGCTGATCAGCTGGGTGGGTCTGTTCCTTTCTTTAATTTGCCTGTTCATCTGCATTCTGACTTTCTCATTGATCGGCTCCATCAAAAGCCCAAGAACCACCATCCACCTGCACCTCTGCATCAGCCTCTTCATTGCCAACCTAATCTTCCTTGCAGGCATCTCTCAAACAGAGAACCGGGTAAATACTAAAACATTGTGCATAGTCAAACTTCCTGCACTGGTCAGATTAACCCAGGAAGCTTTTCAGCATCTTTGGCCCTTATTTCATCACTGACATCCTGATTCTCATCCCTCTTCTTACTGCATTAGGTTGGCTGTGCAGTGGTAGCAGGGTTTTTGCATTTCTTCTACCTGGCAGCATTTTGCTGGATGTGTCTGGAGGGCATCCAACTCTTCAGAATGGTGGTTCTGGTCTTTAACACCAACTTCAACACCTTTTACATGATGGCAGGTGGCTATGGAGTTCCAGCTGTAATTGTCGCTATTTCTGCCTTAGCTAATGCCAAGGGATATGGCACTAAGAGATAGTAAGTACCCTCTGCTGATGCTGATGCTGATGCTGATCCTAGTTTATTTGTAATCTAAGCTTAAACTCTAGGTCGTGCTAACATTTAATCTGCTCAGTAAACTCTAAATATGTATTTCAGTTGTTGGCTAAACCTAGAAACCATCTGGAGTTTCTTTGGCCCTGTCTGTGTCATCATGATTGTAAGTATAAAAATAACTGATGACAATAATATCCCTAAAATTGTCATCAGTGCTTTTTTTTTATAAAGTAATCTCTGTTTCATTTCAGATTAACATTATCTTCTTCCTCATCACTGTGTGGAAGCTGGCAGAGAAGTTCTCAAGTTTAAACCCTGACCTAAACAATCTGCAGAAAATAAAGTGAGTTATTAATAGTCTGCAAGCAGCCCCCAAAAATCAGACATGCAAATGTTTATCTTTGTAGTGGCAGTGTGTGTATGCACATATTTGCTATGTGGTATTACACATTTTACTGTATATATTATTGTCTCTTCCACTAATGATAGAAATAAAAACCAGTCCCCCAAAGAAAACTCTTTTCTCATATTTTGCCCATGTGTGTCTTTGTTGCCTCCTGCAGGGCATTCACCATTACTGCAGTGGCTCAGCTGTGCTTGCTGGGCACCATGTGGATCTTAGGATGTTTCCAGTTTCAGAAGGGCACTATAGTTATGTCTTACCTGTTCACAATCTTTGCCAGCCTTCAGGGGGTCATGCTTTTCATCATGCACTGTCTGTTTTCTAAACAGGTCTGTCACACTCCTCACAAAAAATGACCAAGCTCTGCTCCTTTTTCTGGTGTCAAAACTCAACTTATATTCTGATTTTAGGTGAGGGAAGAGTATGGAAACATTCTTTCCAGAATCTGTGGAACTCAGAAGAAGAGCTACTCAGAATTCAGTTCCTCACAGCCCAGCAAAGCACGTGTAAGCATTTATTTATATTTCATAACAAAGGCTCTGATTCTGGGGGAATCATTTTTCAGTAAATGGCTCATCCCTTCTTCTTCTTCTTCTGTCATTCTCAGGCATCCAAAAGCAGCCAGGACACAGGAGAGTCTCACATCTGAGGAGTTAAAGAGTGACTTGGGAGCAAGGTCTGACTGATTTCCTCAAGAATTCCATCTTAGACAATCAGCCAACTACTGCACTCCCATCTGTAGACATTACACCAACTTCACTGCAAAATACCATCCTTCCTTACTGTGAGTTGGCCTTTGTATTTTGTATGTGTATATATTTCTGGCCAATTCAATATGTATTGATATTTGACTGCCTTCCTACACCATTCAGTATGCTGTAGCATCTTTAATGTAATGTATCTGCTTATTTGAAGTTTTTCATTTTCACAGATGATGAAGGTTTCTTAACTTGAATGTTCAAAAATTATTTTTGCTATTTCCTGTGACTGACCGTGTGAATTATGTGCCTTATTAATTGTGTGTTGGTTATTTTTTTAACGATTTTCCTAAGGCCTCTCCTGAAGTTATCTCATGTTTAAGGGCTCAGTGGGAAGGTCTTCCCACACTGATCATGAATTGTTTATTACTTTATTTTAGTAATTGTTAATTACTTTTAGGCTGCTGAAGTATAAAGATATCTTATTTTGATTTAATGTCACAGTGCATATTTAGCTGAAATAATGGTGAAAAAGCATCAGCAACCTAAGAGTAAAGTTAGGAGTTCTGTTAAAGAGCACATGAAAACTAAATGTCAAACCCATGACATTATTTATTTCTTCATTTATTTTTAGTTTCACATTCATGCCTGACACATTTCATAACTCTTTGCTTGCTGCTGAAAGATGTATCTGCCTGGTTCACATATAAGACAGAAAGTTACAGAGGAAATAGAAGACAGGCTTCTTTTCCTTCCTGTTTATAGGCATGATGGTCTCAAAGGCAACTCTGAAATATTGGTGCTTGAATTTTAACAAACAAACAAACAAACATTAAGTACATCTCAAATCAGATATATATTAATTAATTTTAATATTCAGATATATTAATTTATAATATATCAGTGCAGATCAAACACAGTATTCCCTTTTAAACATTACCAGCCTTATGGAGTTAGTGTTGTATCTTTTGATTTATACTCACCTCATCCCATGGGAAGATTTTTGAACACATGAGTTTTTTAAATATGTAAAATATTATAAAATATCTGTCAGGTGATGTTAACAGTGGGCTCTGAGTATTTTATTCTTCTAAGTAAGATTCCACATGTACAGAAACCCTTGAGTCATCTGATTATCATCATGCAGTTTCCTCTGATGTCTGTGTGTACTGTATACATATATTTATGTGACACTGGTGGATGATAATCATCATGGTCCGTGAATAACAGACTTGAATCTCTTTCTGTTTTGAAGGAAACATGAGAATTATCATTTAGAATTTAAGAAAGTGAATTTTGAAATATTTGCAACAGCTGACACTAAATTTGACTGTTCAAGTATTCAGCCAGAACTGGATCAGTATTGCAAAATGACAGTGAAGACTGAGATCACCTCTGCTTTAAAGGCTCAGCAGAGGACATGAAATGTTGGGAGGGACACAAATGTCAACATTAGTGATAAATGAATGTGACGGAGGAGGCGGCTCGGTATTCAAAAAAGATACACTCATCTTCATCTTTTATGTAATGTTTGTTTTTTAGTAGAAAGAGTAAAAAAAAGAGTTATGCAAGATGTTTTAAGTTTCAGCCTTGATGTTTGATTAAATCATGGTTCACAAGACATCTTTCTTTTATTAATAAAAAAATCTTCTCAATTCTGAATATCACCCCTGGATTGGTTTTAATCATGCAGTTTCTCTATAGTTTCTTCTTTTTAACCACTGGAGGTCTGTAACTGTTTATATGGGGGTTGGCCACAAAGCAGACAGGTCCTGAACACAAAGGGAGAGTCAAAGGACTCTGTTGGTTGTGTTATTTCACCAGAAGATAAACTGACAAGTAGCCTAAGACGACAGGCCCATTTTTTTAGGCTAATGTTCAAGTCGGTCAAACTGTCTTAAAAAGGTGCAAGCTAAATATTTTTTCTTTGTTGTTCTAGTTGTAGTCAGATACAAAATCCAGATATAACACATTGTATATCATTGTGTCTTTAGGAAAAGCCCAGATGGGATTGTTAGGGCAGGTCTAGATCACAGGTAATGAAACTCAACTTAGTGGCATTTTTGGCAGGTACATTACTTTTTGTATCTTTTTTTTTTTTTTTTTTTACAAAGTTTTTTGAACTACTTTTTCTAAGTAGCTTTAGTTCACCAAATTTCTCCCTAGGGTACCTTTGCTGTATTTCAACTTCCTTCAGTGTGAATAATTCATAGCTTGCAAAGCTATGCTTTGAAGTAGCTTCACCAATGACCGTAAGTTTCTGTACGGACACACACAGGCCAGCCATCAGTCTGTAATAGCCGTTTTGATCTTTAACTTTTCTCTTATGGGCTGAAATAAATAACTTATTTTGTGGGTGTTGTGAAAAAAAATGTGAATTTCTACTTTAGTGAGTTCTACAGATGTTGATGAGGTCTGTGTTCAGCAAGCCAAAAGTGTACAAGGTGTGATTGAAGATTGAGATTGACGAGTGGAACCGGTCTTGAATAACATCGTAAACATTTAGTTGGTAGTCTGTGCCGGTCCCACTATCAATAGCAGGCACCTGCAAATCCGGCAGTTGGGATATTGGGCGGGGTTATCATTGTCCAATTAAAATTAGAAACAACTTGACAAGCGCGTGGTTTAACAAATGGCTGAGCTCCTGAAGAGTGCTCACACCCGGGATGGGCGGTGCCTCTTTGGCAGCGACTCTATTCAATATGGAGTACAGAAAATAGCCAGATTCACACAGCATTGTAGTGTTCTCATTCAGATTTAGGTCACTCCTGACAGTCAGGCTCAACTTAAGAACTCAACCCCATGAATACCAGCACAGAGGACTCGCTCATGTACTTTTGACATATTTCTGAATATCCTTTAACAATAAGCTGTTTAACGCTACTTCTTAAGAAAACCCGCGCTGATTAGCAGTGAACTACAAAACTGTTAAACTCGTAAAAACTATTAATTTCCCCATTAACGCTGCGTTGTGTGTTTTTTGACGCTCGCAGCATCCGGTGGACGATTAGAATACACCCAGTTAAGGCGAAAATAACAAGTTGTGCCGACCGGCGGGTTAGCGGTTTAAAGGGAGCACCACTTCAGTCTGCTAACTTGTAACTTAGGTAAGTTGAGTCCAGTGAGAAACATTTTTGCGCTGTAAGGTAACTATGATGTTTATGTAACCCGGAGAGGCATCTGTTTATGTGCACTGCTTAATTGATAAGTGGCAATTTGGGTAAAAGTTCATCCCCGCTCGGGGCTTTTAAAGAATTGTTAACGTTAGCTATACAGACATTTCTTAGAAGTGTTTTCCTGTTCTAGCCTGTGCTACAGTAATTCGGTCTCTTGAGTGAAACCATGTAGGCTACAACATAAGACCATTGTGTCCTGTATGCCTATCTTCCACGTTTTCCTCCATGACAAGAATGCACAATGCAACGAGTGTCTCAGTCTCTCTGGGGTCCATGGGACTGTTGCGTCTCTTCGGGGTGTCCTGGCCCTGGAGTGTGGCAGCAGGCCTTGGGGTATATCTAGGCACAAGAAGCTGGAAATTCTTATACATTGCAACACGTACTGCCAAGAGAGACCTTAAGTAAGTTGGATATGTCCCAGTAAAGTTCATATGTCTTTGAGCCTACATCTTTATTTACCTCATCTCTTCCCATCTTCCTCCTCCTCACCAGTGGCCTGTATGTGCTTTTGAGAGTGAAGCTGGCTTTATGGCGTTACATGCACAGTGGAAGCAATATTGTTTCCATCTTCGCCCAGACAGTAAAACGCCACCCAAATAAACCAGCACTAATCTATGAGACAACGGGGGAAACATGGACCTTCACCCAGCTGGATGAGCTGTCTAATGCAGTAGCCCACTGGGCAAGAGGTCAAGGCTTGGTACCTGGGGATGTGGTGGCCATCTTCATGGAAAGCAGACCATTACAGGTGGCGCTTTGGCTGGGTTTGGCCAAGGTGGGCGTGGAAGCTGCACTCATCAACTTCAACCTCCGCCATGATTCACTCCTGCACTGTATTGGGGTGTCAGGGTCACGAGCTATTGTGTTTGGAGCCGAGCTTGCTGATGGTAAGAGTGTTATGAATTAGGAAATGCTGGTTTAAAATTAGTATTTAGGTTTTAATTTTGTATCAGCGGATGGGTTTGTTCTAAAGAAAAACTGTATTACAGGCTAGCAACATATCTAATATTCATCAAATTAAAAGGATTGCATTGCTATTGCAAGCAGAAGTCATAAAATACTGATCAACTTCAGCAACATATTTTTAATGAATATTTTGCCTCTATATCATGTGAGGTGGTCAACATTTTGTCCTATAGCATCACACTGTTAATGTAAACTGGCAGTGACTGTGTTTTCGACATGTCATGGTTAGGCCATGCTGTTGTGATCATCTACCACCTTTTTTGTAAAGTTAGTTAACATTTGCTTGCCTTTGTTTCTCTGGACAACATAAACACTACTTTGTTTGTGCTGTTAAGATATAGTGTTTTCATTCATCTGTTTTATAGGCTTCAGAAATAAAATTATCATTATTATGACCTCATGCAAAAAGGATCAGTTAATGAAGTCTCATTGGTTATATGTAATTTAACTGAGTGTTAAGTGTGTATACACACTATGTTCTAATTTAAGCTACAGTGTTTGACCTGGCCTGATTGTCCTCTCTTCCTATCTCCCTCTTGTTTGTCTTACTGAATATCAGCTGTGTTGGATGTCAGCTCCTCCATTACCCACTCCATGGTATGGTTTTGTACAGGAGACCTCAGTACAGAACGTCTGACTTATCTGGGTGCTCAACCTCTGGACCCAATTTTAGCCTCTTCCTCTAAACATCCACCTTTACCTTGTGTTCCCCCCAAAGGCATGAATGGTGAGTACCTTATCTTCCACTGAACTCATCCCTGACTCTATTTTAGACTTGGTGGTTATTTCATTTTATAGTAATCTATGCAGACTCTTCTACTGTGTTTGGTTGATATTCTCCTGCTGGAGTAGGTATGAGGGACTAGTTGAGATGTGTATTGTTTGAATAACATACCAGATCCCCATTAGTAGATGAATGAAGATACAAGTCAGCGTTAAAGGTGTGACTCCAACATATTACCGGTTAACAAACCTGAGGTCTGTATTGCCCAGGAAAACAAAAGGATGAATGAAAAGAGAGACAACTATGTTTTCTGTTCATTGTCATTGTCATTCTTTGGGTTCACTAATGGCATTCCAGCAGTGAATAAAATACTGTGAAGACACATGTTTAAAGTGTGTAATTGTAGTGCTCTATTGTATTCTTTTTTTTTTTGCAGACCATCTGTTTTATATTTATACCTCTGGCACCACTGGACTACCCAAGGCTGCCATTGTTGTACACAGTCGGTATGTTTTCTTGAGCGACCAGTCACAAAATGGCATCACCCTCCAGAGTTGTAATGAACGCTATCTGAGAATCTCTCCTGTTTTCTCCACAACAGTTACTACCGAATCGCTGCTTTTGGGTATTTTGCCTTTCGCATGCGCCCTGATGACATCATCTATGACTGCCTGCCTCTCTATCACTCAGCAGGCATGTGACGGTAGCCTCCAGCTCTTCATGGATTCAGTTTTACCCTCTTGTTTTGCATAACTGAAGTGTGACCTCTCTCTTCTTGCCAGGTAATATCATGGGAGTTGGTCAGTGTCTGATCCATGGCCTCACTGTGGTAGTGAAGAAGAAATTCTCTGCCAGCCGATTCTGGGAAGATTGCATTAAGTACAACTGCACTGTAAGACTTTGTGTTTAGAAAATATTTAATTGCCATATTTTGTAAAACCAATAACTATAAAATACTGGTTTTAAACATGCACTACCATAGTCACACAACTTGCTTTCCTCTCGTAGGTGGTGCAGTATATCGGGGAAATCTGCCGTTACCTCCTGTCTCAGCCAGTACGGCCATCAGAAAAGGGCCACAAAGTCCGACTGGCAGTGGGGAATGGGTTGCGCCCCAGTGTGTGGGAGGCCTTCACAGAGCGTTTTGGGGTTGCACAGATTGGCGAGTTCTATGGAGCAACTGAATGCAACTGTAGCATTGCCAACATGGATGGCAAGGTCAGGAATCACAACATTTCTCATGTCTTTGCAGGTAAAATGTGAATTTGATCAAAGTTGAGCTAATTCTGTTCTGCCAGGTGGGAGCCTGTGGATTTAATAGTCGCATTCTCCCCAATATGTACCCCATCCGTTTGGTGAAGGTGAATGAAGACAGCATGGAGCTGGTTCGAGACAGCCAGGGCCTCTGTGTTTCTTGCTCCCCTGGTAACCAGTGCTAATACCTGTGATCAGCACCAATATTGTTAACTGTGTTGACCTTTGTAAAGCACTTTGTGAGACTCCTCCATGTGTTGTAGGGGAGCCAGGGCTTCTGGTGGGTCGTATCAACCAGCAGGACCCATTACGGCGCTTTGATGGTTACGCTAACAAGGACGCTACACAGAAGAAGATTGCTCACAATGTCTTCAAGAAAAATGATTCTGCATATATATCAGGTTTGCAGTATTTCTTTTTTTATTCCTTAAAATGCATAAAAAAATCTTTATATTGCAGATTTAATGCATCATAACACTCAACTCAGCTTACAGTGTTCATTTTAAAAATATTTTAACAAATAAACCAGTCTAAGTGTTCAAGATATTTATAATATGTTAACTGGAAAAGGCAATGGTGGATTGCCAGTCTAACTTTCTCAGTCATCAGTATGGTTGATTGTAATGTTTGCTTAGTCATTTTATTTCATTTTTTCATTCAAGGTTGGCAGTTATTTTATGTTCCATATGTCTACCCTAGGTGATGTGCTGGTGATGGATGAACTGGGCTATATGTACTTCCGAGACCGCAGTGGAGACACATTTCGCTGGAAAGGAGAAAATGTCTCCACCACCGAGGTGGAGGGTATACTGAGCAATCTTCTGGGTCAGACTGATGTGGCTGTGTATGGTGTAGCAGTGCCAGGTGGCTGTTAACTTTGTATACTTGCTGTTTTTAGCATCACATTGGGATGGTATTTACCTTTATTGCATATGGATTTCACTCTGCTGTTTACTGGATAAGCATTAATCTCCATGTCTCATACTAGGTGTGGAAGGTAAGGCAGGCATGGCTGCCATTGCAGACTCTACAGGGTGTTTCGACTGCAACGATTTCTTGCAGAAAGTCCAGCGAGGTCTTCCTCCGTATGCTCGCCCTGTCTTTCTGCGAATCTCTCCACGAGTAGACACAACAGGTAAAATGCCCAAGTATTCCTCCTGAGTTCCTAAACATGTGAACTACCACTGATATCAACAAATCATAACCTCTTGTGTATCTCCGCATTCCTGGATAGGTACATTTAAAATCCAGAAAACCAGGCTACAGAGGGAGGGATATGACCCGCGCCTCACAACTGACCAGATCTACTTATTGAACACTAGAGCTGCACGGTATGAGGCTGTAGATGAGAGGCTGTACAATGCTATAACAGAGGGAAGAATGCCTCTGTGACATGGGAGGTCATAGCAGGGCAGTCATGGTGCCTCAGTTATACAAATGCTGAGAAAAGATAACACATGCACATGTGGTGTCAGGATCAGTCATTCTCAGTTTGCCATCTGCCTTGACTTTAACTGTCCAGGGAACAGAGCCAAGAAGACTACTTAGACAGCTGCAGATGACATTTTAACAGTGTATAAGTAACTCGCCATAACTTAACATGAGGGAAGTTATTCCCTTTAATAACTTTTTAGTTTTTAAATGAACACCTCAGAATGCCTTTGAGCATCACCTCACATAGAATGGGTAACTCCCACAACCCATTTGACATAGGAACATTTTACAGTAATATGGTTAGGAGAACAGAGGTCCTATCAAGTCAAACTGTTTTAAAGGGTGTATACCAATTTATGAATTATGCTGCAAGACTAGCTTAAGCTATACTTCAGTGTGAAGCTAATGGAGTGGTTGCTGTGTGTATGGATGAAACTGCAAAGCCAGATTTCAACATGAATTACTTCATCATGTACTTACTAGATCAAACACTAACTAAATTCTTTCAAATGCAATGGAAAACTAATCTCACTTACCACATTTGAGCTTCTGAACAGCACTGTCATGGGTTTGCAGTATACACATGCGTTGTTACTGTATGTGCCTTATATAAAACTCCACATCTGTGTTTCATGGATTTATACATTTTTTTGGAAAGGAGCTCAAAAGAATGTGGAAATCACTAGTCATTTGGGGTCATGCAAAGCTAAGTCACACACAGTGAATGCCATTTTTTGTAACAAAGTTTGTGTAGTGTAGAAACATAGGTGTTAAACATTGTGAAGCTATTTACAGACTACATTTTTGTTTGTTTTTTAACTGAAATTAAACATTTTAAAATATTTTTGTTTCATGTCATCCATTTATTATAGCTGGGTTTTTTTCTTGGTAATGTAGCATTGTAACTTCATTTCTTTTATTGGATTTTTATACAAATAATATTTGGCAATTTGCATCAGAGATGAATTATTGGTCTGTTGACATGGATATCCTTGTGGGTAGGATTTTCAGTGGATGCTCTTTGCAGGCAGTGCAAAACTAGGGAAAGGCTCTGGGTGTGATAACATCTGTGAAGGTGTAAAGAGGCTTTCTCTCTCCAGGGTCATAAAACGTCACCTTGCCTCGGTCCATGTCTAAAACTACTCTTATCACTTCTGGCTTCTTAGTTATGTTCAGTGGCTCCCATGGTGCTGTGCAGGCCTTGTGCTCTCCATTGCGAAACCTTATAGTCCAGAACCCCTCTGCTGGTGTCAGCACAGTCTTGCCCTTCCTTTTGACTGACTCGCTGGCTACTCCCACCACCCAGTAGGTGTTATCCTTAACCTCCACTTCCCAGCTACAGCATCCAGAAGTATAGCCGTCAGCAGCCAGCATCTCAGCACTGATGTCAAAGCGTTCTGGGTTGTCTGGCACCTTGGAAATCTTGGATGAGGTGTGCACGACTGTGAGGTCCTCTGAGAGAATGAAGCAGCTAGCTGCTGTGTTAGGATCTACAACAACTGGATCTTGAAAGAATAAAAGAGCAAGATGTTACTAATATGGCAGGAAAAGTACTGAACAACAAAATATGACTAATTATTTTTTAGGAACTCACTATATTTAATTATACTCCTCATCTTCTCCCACACTTTATATTTCAGAGAGCCCAAGTACTTGGCCACGTCAATTAGAGCTCCAGAAATAATTTGTGGATCAAGAGACTTTCTCCAGGTTCTGAAAAGATACTTAAGCAGTTAGTTGTTAAGAATTACATCTGCGAAGCTATAGTATCCTAAAAAATATTCTTTACTGAATCCTAAATTACCTTTTTATTGTTTCCTTGTAATTCTGGAAATAAAATGTAGAAATGTTTTCATTAAGTAATGAATGTAAAACAATGTCTGGTTATGATTTGTTATATACGTTATGTGAAGGATCAGTCTCATCTACCTTAAGAAATGGGATATCTTGAGAGCTCATTTCCTGCTCTACTAATCTAATGGTGTTGGAGAGTGATGTCATTTCATTGTTCATCTCCTCAATGCTCTGTTCAATCATCAGGTTCTTCTGCTCCTCCTCGGCCTTTAAATCTGAAAGTCTGGCAGCTTCCTGCTCATTCAGGAAATGGTGCAGGGCCTGAAATTCTTCTTTTATTTGTGTTTCAGTATGTTTGACTTGGTTCTGGAAAGACACGTGATTGATGAGTAATCATTGCCTCCACAGTTCTCTCTAGTATGTTCAAGGTAACATTTGATACTGATGGGACTAACAGGACCTTAACGTGTTCTGCCATTTCCTCGTAGACCATTTTCGCCTTCTTGTAGAGCTGCAATTTTTCTTTCAAAAGCAGAACTGCACGCTTCAGTTCCTCCTGCAAAGTCAGAGACAGGGCAGTGACAGTTAAGGTCAGCCTGGCAGGTGGCCAAGCTGTCAGCATAAACTGTGGCTTTCAGCTGCTACACGCTCTGACAGCAGCATTCCCTGTAAATGTAAAGCTGCACAGTACAGCAGCTATAAATTAAAGAGGAAAGGTTTCAGGTACAGAAAAGGTTCTAATGCTCTGGCAATATAAGCAAGATTGAACTCATGCAGCTATTTTATTTTGCATTAGTACTCAAGAGGATGGCAGGAGTAGAATGACTGCATCACAGAAACTGTGGGAGTCAAGTTTCAGTCTACTGGAAACCAGTGCCAAGCCAAAAATATTAATCTATTATTAGAGTGTTAATGAATTCTGCTAAACACCTTCTCACATATCAGCATATCAGGTTTAGTAAAGCTCTAAAGTTTTAAGAGAATTAAAGTCACAGAAAAACAGATTAAACTATGCTTTTTCTAAATGCTGCAAACTGTAAATTAAAATAAAATGTATCAGGCAGCCGATATTGAAGATATGTAGGTCAAACAATGAAAACATGCTACCAATGTGAAATACTGGGGTGACCAACCCTGAGACATTAACGTGCCTACCTTACAATCGTGAGCACCTTCTCCAATAGGATAGAGCTTGTGTCCAGCGTGTGCAGCTGCTTTCCCACATGCAATACAGACCGGTTCCATGTCTTCTAAACAGAACATTGTGAATGTTTCGCCATGTTCTTTACATGCCTCTGGGTCATTCTTGCTTCTCTCCTTCTTGAGCGATTCACAGGCCTTTTCCAGCACAGTGCTCACCACTATTTGATCCATGGAGGAACGGCGCCAGCACAGTGGGCAGCAGTGTGAATCCCCACTGCCTTGGGTATCCCAGCTGGCTTGTAGACAGGCTTTACAGAATCTGTGTTTGCAAGTGAGCAACACAGGTTGACTGAGAAGATGTCCACAAATTGGACAGGAAAGATCATCCTCACGATGAGCACGTCTGGTGGCCATTCTTTTTCTCAGGGCTTTGGTGACAAGACAGGAGCTAAGCCTCCTCCCACAGCTCTGGAACATTACCTAACCTTAACCTCAGAAATAAGTATTAATACCTCAGCTCCCTAGGGGATATCAGGTGTTACTCTGTGTTATGTAGACCATGCACATTGCTCATTCTCAAATAAACACCACACATCAGAATAAAATGAATTGGTTTTACATTTAAGATGCTCCATCTGTGCAGGTCACAGCAAATAGTTGCATGAAAGAGGAGAGTAGGCTGACAACTGAATATTTGCACTCAAAATGGCCTTTAGTTTAGAGTTGATCACCTCTTAAGGTAATGAAAATGAGAAGCAATGTCCAAACTGAAATTCAGAGTGAGGATATAAATGCACATATGAAACTTGTCTTGAACTGAAGTAAAAAAATATACCCATGTGCTCACTACCGCAATTGCTTTTTGTTTTTCCTCCTGTTCACAATCTAATTTAGCTTTGGGCAACAACTCTTTAAGAACACATGACACATGGTTATTTTTAAAATATACCGAGTCAAGCCCTCTTCTGGTATAAAAACATGAAACACAGGTCTCACATTACTCAGACATCACATTACTGACTTTTTAAGAGCAAACAGAAAGCTATCAAAGCAAGATGTACAAACATAATTGTCATAAAGAGTAATTAGTGAATTTCTAAAGTATTTAACAGCTAACCTTATTTGTACTTATCATATTCAGAGGTGTTCCTAATATTCTGACCTTCTCATTATGTAGCTTGAGGGGAACAAAAATATAAAGACACCTCCAAGTATAATGTAGTCCAGTACAACACCACCGTTAACTATGACCTCAATAATAAACATATAATTGAATTTATATATTTATGACAATCTCACCAAAAACTGACACAGTTTGAGCTTCATAAACACAAATGTTAAGGTGGAAATGTTGCATTTAATTGCATACAGTTGTACTGGTGTACCTAATAAAGTGGCAAATGTGTATATTTTTGTTATTGTCAGTACAGTTAAAATTTAGCATAACATTTACTGCAGAATTATTTTAAGAATGTCAAATGAAGGGGACATTGTACAAGTCTTTGAAGACAACTCCTTAAATGCAGTTACAGATTTTCCTCAAGTGTCCTTTCTGTAATACAAGCTCAACTATTTTCAAAAGGCTGCAGGTTAGATGACATTGGTCATTAGTAATACTAATGTATCTGCTGCCTTCTTCTCCTCCTCCCCTCATACACACACTTTTAACCATACGACTGACAACAGAGCTTGTGTTTAATATATGAACATGGAAAAGTGTTTTAATCACATGGTCCACTTTATTATTTTCACAAAGGAATGACAAAAGTGGAAATCTTTTAAAGAAATCAAGACAGACACTGTACAAATAAAGAGCAATACATATTAGCTGAAGGATATATAAGAAGGAATTAAAAGCTGGAGGTGTATAACAAAAAGTAACAGCATGGGCCTATGCTACAGGTCAGACATCCACAGCATCCAAAGTTTAAAATCTCATTTAAGCTGCATCAGTACTCTACATGTGAAATTTCTTTTCTGGCTGACATGAGAATAAGGCAAGCCTGAGCACACGGCAGGATACACCATAAAAATAATGTAGTTCACATGCACATTAAATGGTAGAACTGTGGTATTTAACAATGACGTGTCAATAAAAATAAAAATCAACAAAAATGTGCTGACAGGGAACTCAGGCCATATTATTACCACCACTAGTTATGATCACGTTAAGTAGTAACATTTAATGTGTGTTTACTATGTCACATAACATCCTCCTCAGTATTAGCAAAGAAACACGAGTTGTTTCTTGACATTGTATACCCACTGTTTCTCAGTTTTTAAATCATACACAAATACTTTTTCACTTCAAAATCATAACATTTTTCTCCAAAGGTGGTTGTTCCCGTCCTTGACATTTTTTGATTCATCAACCCTTCACTGTTTTCAATGACCAGAGGTCGCTACAGCTTCACATCAACTTCCTGTCGGACTGATCAGACGTACGCCCGGAGCGCTGGTGTCGGACCTCTAGGTGTTTGCTCTGGACATGGTCAAAATGCTGAAGCAGCTCATTGTAATCAATCTGAGTGTAAGAGGCACGTTTTGTGACTATTTGCTGTTTAGAGTCCATATACTTGGACTCATCCACAGTCCTCATGAGCTCTGGGTTAGGGACACATTGCAAACGGTGGGAGAGTAGCTGGAACGCCTGGCTCTGTGGCAGCAGCATCAGCAGACCATACAGTGCCTTAATCAGATATGGGTTGTTCTCCACATCCAGGAGCTGCAGACGCAGGTAGGTGAAAATGGGGCTTTCTATGAGTTGTACGAGCTTGTCGATCTCCATGAGGAAGTCTACTGTCACCTCTAGGTCTCCAAACTTCTGGATAAGATCATAGGCGTGTTTGTAGTTCTGTGTGAGGAAACAGAGCGACACAGTGGCCACAGGGTTGTGGCACCAAGAACGATACAGGCAGCAAAACAAAGCGCAGCTCTCCTGAGTGTGCAGGTCTTTAAGCTGATTGCGTAACTGGAAGAGCTCAGCAGAGGTGAGCAGGATAGTGTTGAGCGTTTGAACCATAGTGGAAGAAAATTTTAGGTCCTCCTCCTTCAGCAAGATGTCAGCCATGGAGTGGAAGATGTTCTCCGCATGAAGCAACAAACACAGTTGCCTGATGATGAAAGCTCCCCTGATGTCCAGAAGCTTCCTCTCCAAACTGAAATGTTTCAGCAGGTTGATCATGAACTTGTAAAAATAGGAATTCATACTGGGAGTGGAGGGGGATGAATCAACTGCCCTGGAACTGTGCTGCTGCCCCAGCTTCACACCATCTGGGACCTTGAGCTCTAGTCGATGGTCAGTGCTGTCACATGAGCTGGTTTGGTCTGTTTGGCCAGCAGGAGATGATGCTATCTCAGCTAATACCTCCAGATCTTTCAGTATAACCTCATCAGACTCATCAGACAATGTCTTCAGCAGCATGGGAAACAGGCTGTCTGTGTGGCGGAACATTTTTCGTGGTGTTTTGATGTAGAGGTGGTAGAGCCATTTAAGTACAGCTATGCGAGTCATCATGCCAGTGGAAGAGTCGTGGAGGTGGCGGTCCAACACCTGAACAATGCCGTCTAGGTCCAGAGTTACCTGTGGCCTGTCAGCACTCGCTGGAGTAAAAAAGCTGATATTACTGAAGCCAACAGATTCTTGTGATGCATTCAGCATATCAGTGCTGTCTGCCTCTGCCAGGGGCTGGCCTTCTTCCTTAGACAGTGAACCAGTGCTTCCACTTCCCTCTTCTTCCTCATCCTCATCATCCTCAGGGGTCACCAGCTTCATCAAACTGTGATTGCAGGCACTGGCTGCTTCTTTGGTATTCTTCTTTCTGTCATCATAGGAGAGACAAGGTAGCACTGCAGTCAGGATACCAGAGGAGTAAGGGAGAACCACTCTGCCTGCAAGCTGGATAAACTCTCTCATCCAGGTCATAGCTGTCAGTTGGATCAGGTCGTTTGTGAGTTTGGCCTCATCTGCAGCCTGGCAGTGGATGACCAGGACGTTGGCCATCTCAGCAAATTTCACACTAGAGGGAGTCTTCTTAATCTCCTTCAGAAATTCTCCCAGCACCACCTCACACATCCTACGGATCTCCTTGCTGTTGTCTCCCAGAATCTGAAAGAGCCCATCCAGGATCTCAGGGAGGTAGTCTAACAGGTTGATGTCTGGCACAGACTCCAGAACATGGATCCAAGAAATAATGAACTGTCTGGCATACTGATTATTGGAGTAGATCCTCTCCCTCAGCAGAGGGACAAATGCCACCAAATCAAACTTGTTACTTTCTGTCACTATGTCTTTGAGCAGTCTGTCCAGGAGTTCAGATCCGCTTTTCACATTTGGATCCGGATCTGCTGCAAGTTTGCTGAGACCATCAAAGAGCAGGTTGAAGTGGGGCAGCACAGCTCCTCTGGCCACCTTGACTATGTTATAGAGGGCCTCACAGGCATAGTAGCGCAAACGGCTGTCTGAGTCATTAAAGCATGTGAGTACAGGCTCAATAAGCTCCTTCAGATACAGACCTGAGTCTTTGCCGAGGGCGATTGAGCAAGCTGCCAGTCCAATGAGACCCCCTTTGCGGCTGTGGGGATGCTGGGAAAGGGCAAATTCCGAGGCCAGAATCTGGATTACATGCCTGATTTGAGTGGAGTTGTTCTGGGCCACAAATTCCCGCACCAGTTTCTCAATTTCTAGAGCTGCCACTTTCCTCTTCTCGTACAGTTTATCATTCAGAGCCCTGACGATGTTGGGCGTCAGAGGCGAAAAGTCCTTCTCCGAATTCATGTTCTTAGCTGTGGTTATACTGGATCCTGTCTACCGAGAGCGACGATGGAACAGCAGCCGGCATGTATTATCATTGATTAGAGAAAACACATCGCTTTCCTTTCCAAACGAGGAAGCCTTGTGATACAAGTCAGCTGACCGGTTACTTCCTCCGGAAACACGTAACGGTTGCTACATTTATTTGGGTCCCGCTTTGCGAGAACAATTGCGTCTAATTGGCTTCATTAGCTACGTGTTAGTGTATGTTATCATTTAAACTACCAAATCATTTCGCTTCCTCGGTTTTGAGTTGACGCTTTTGTTGGACTAGTGAAGAGGTTTGTTGCAGCCAGGAACAACAATGGCGAGCCGCGTCTCTTTTCACTCACAGCTCTCCTCCATCATGGAGGCGATGGCAAGGTCTGCCCTGAGTCAAGTCTGCGAACTGGTGGACGAAGACTCGGCTGAGCTCCGGCTCGAGTTGTCTCGGCTACTGTTTGCTAATTCCGCCCTGGCAGAGAAAGTAAACAGTCTGGAGTGCGAGCTAACGATTGTGAGAAGCGACGCCCCCAAGTTGTGTAAAACTTATCGCACCGTGGGTGTACAAACTGTCTGCTACAGAGACGAGGATCCTTATGGTACTTTTACTTCTGTTTGACAGTAACGTTAGCCCAGAAGATTTGAACATCCGTATGGCTTTAGTGTTTACTGGTGTGTTTCCATTTTTTCCTTCTATTTCTCCTCAGTGCCTGGGCCCCCCACAATAGAAGGGATCTTTGGAAAAGACTGGTGTATGAAACTGTGGAAAGACAGAGACCCGTATAGTCTGGAAAGAATCACAGACTCACCACAGTCCTCTGATAAGGTGACAGGAAGGTTTATGACGCCTTTATGACCATGAGCAATAACCAGTTGTGTTTGCAGGCGTGGAGCATGCAGTACAGTAGATATTATACAGGCTTAAATATGAAGCATACAAACTTTAGAAAACAGCCAAAATGTCTATCTTCATAATCCATCCATCCATCCATTATCTCTACCGCTTATCCCTGAATAGGGTAGCTGGGGGGCTGGAGCCAATCCCAGCTGACATTGGGCGAGAGACAGGGTACACCCCCTGGACAGGTCTCCATTCTATCACAGGGCTGACATGTAGAAAAACAACCACACACACTCACACTCACTCCTAAAATTGCTTATGTACAATGAAAAGCAGCAGTAGCTAGGCAAGGGAGTGCGTACGTCTTGATATGACCCGGGATATTTTGGTTATAAATGTGTATTTTGAGGGTTTTATCATGTTTTGTCCCATCACCAGTTCAAAAAATAGTGAATAGAAGATATTTAGAAAGTTTAAATAAAGAGAATGGCAGCAAATCACCACTTTACATTTTTCCTCGATTGATGACTTAAGATTGGTTCCCTGATAGACTGGTGGTTAGGGCGCAGCGCTCCCGCCACTGTGGCCCGGGTTTGAGTCAGGGTTGGATCGGGAAGGGCATCGGGCGTAAAACACGTCAGTCAACATGTGGTTACACTGACTGTTCCCTGACGGGAAAAAGCCAAAAGTGACATTCATTCAATGACTTAATTAAGGCTTATCATTTCAGCTTTTGTCAGACTTGTAAAGTCCTGCTGTCACAGAAGGTGTTGTTGTATTGACCTACAGTTTACAGGCCCCCTTCTGTCATTCATAAAGACATTCAAAATTACTCTGCTTTGAATAATAACCTTGGGTACATTAGATTTTAGTTTTTTTATTTCAGGATCCCTGAATATGTAGATATTGTAGATTTTTTAAGTTTAACTGCTCAAAATAAGATGTCTCCTACTTCTTGCTAATAAATGCACATTTTGAGGTTTTAAGATGAGCTTTTCCTGTAGTGTTGAACTCTGCACATGCATCATTGTGACAACAAAACAGAAAACACACTGAAGTAAAGTATAAGGAAAAAAGTGAGTTGATTGGAGGGGGACTTTTCTATTTTGCAGTCTATGGCAGCGCTGTCTGACCAGATTACTGTGACTGACATCAAAGAGGAGGATTATGTGGAGGAAGCCACCAGCAGCTGTCAGCAAGAAACCATTGCTTCAGAAGGTAAGAGGCATGGGTGGAGCCAGGGGGTGACCCAGAATTTGACTGGCCACCCCTGTTGGCCAACCCTGCCAGAGTCCAAATATGATGCTTATAAGTATTAATGAATGTAAAATAAAAAGCTATGGCAAATTGTTGCTTGCAATACAACTACCACTTTTCTGGTGCTTTATAATTGATATCGGTCAGTAAGTTCTATTTTTATCATGCATGCAAGCATGATATTTGGATTCATTTCTCCTGTTGTGTTGTTGTGGAGTACTTGGCATGATTCGGTGAGGGGGTGGGGACCCCTGTGTAGCAGCACTGTCCCTGGCAGGGAGTAAGTAAAGAGTGCAGCCAAAGTTAGCTAAAGAAAGTACTTCATGTGTCTCATTTTTACACAGAAATAAACAATTCATTCTTAATAATGTATGGTTTATTATTTCATTAATCTGGGGGTTTAATTTAGTTTTTACATGTTTTTCTTCATCATAAAATGTGCCACCCCTCACTGAGTCTGTGACCCAGCCTGGCCACCCCATTCAAAATGTTCTAGATCTGCCCATGGTAAGAGGGCAAAGGAGTGCACACTGCAGATTTAGCAGCTTTAGAGTGTTTGTCTGTGTATTTGTATGCAACAGAACATGAAGAAAACATGGCCAAGGAACGAGAGCAGCTGTCAGTTGGCTACTCAGCTGGTGGCAGCACTTGCAGCCTGTCATTTGATCAGGATGAAGAACAGATTGTGTCTGCAGGTGGTATTGAAGAACAGTCTATGCAGCTGATATCCATCAGTGGCACAGAGGAGGCCTTCAGCACTCATATCATTCCAATTGAAGATGACATTGATGATGATGATGTGCAGTTCATTCAAGAAAGTCAGCAGGATTCAACAATGAACACTGGAGGTGGGTCCAGCCCAAACAAGCAGCTAGCATTACTGACAGACAACACTGAAAACAGCACTGCTTTGGATAAAGAGCCACATGATAACGTTAAGATGCCTAATGCCGAAACTACCAGGGATCCAAAGAAAGACAAATTCACATGCCAAATATGTAGCAGGACATTTTTTCATAAGGGCACTCTAACACACCACATGAAGTCACACAAGTCAAACTTCTGTAACATTTGTAACCAGCATTTCCCTCACAGTACATTAAATTCACATACCTGTGTGCCTCCAGTTCCCTCCCAGAGAGTCAGTAAGTCATGTGAGCTGTGCGGGAAGACCTTTGCAAACCCGTCTGCTCTCAGGATCCACTATGTTGTCCATACAGGAGAGAAACCTTACAGGTGTAGCTTGTGTGCGAAAAGGTTCACCCAGAAAGGCAATCTGAAGTGCCACCTGCGCATCCATACTGGAGAGAGGCCATTCCACTGTGTTAAATGTGGGAAGACCTTTACACAGAAGGTCAACCTCAACCACCATTTAATGGCACACAGGAACCGCGAGGTTGTGGGAGAAAAGCGTATACCCAGGAGATATCTTAAGAGCTTAATGGCTGGAACCTATCAGTGACTGATTGTGGATGCAAGCTCATTAGATCTGTTAACTGCATCTAAATGTACTGCATCACATACTACTTCTCACATTAGTTTAAGGATTCTTTCAGTTATATTTGTAATGACTTGTGGTCTGTAGCATAACATTTAAAAACCAGGAATGTGGGGCAAAATGTTCTTGTCCAGTGTTTTTATTTAAGCACTTAGCAGTTCAGTGTCTCGGTTGTTCCTGTCAACAATAAAACATAAACGTTCACTTTGTGATTGAAATTTTATTTGACAGAACTGTCTTTTTTAAATTTTTTTCTGTAATTCAAACTGAAGTTTAGCTCAGTTCCTTTCATATTCAGCTGGCAATTTCAATAAGCCACATTTGACTGGGCATTCTAACATGAAGATGTGAGGGAAAAAAGGAAAGCACATAAAACATCTGTAGTTCATTTAAAAGATTAACAATTAGAAAACCCAACAATTGGCTTAATTGCACATAACACAATTCATCTTTCTACAGTCATACAAACACATTTTAAAACGGTAACCATATTTCAGTTTAGACCTGAACAATTTTTGGGATTCATTTCAATATTATGTGACCAAAGAAAAAGGTCTGCCCAGTTAAATGCAATGCTATAAAATGACACATGGCATGTTGGAAACAGAGCAGAGGTGACACTTGGGCAATGAGGCAAACAGAAGAAACTGTTTTACTTCGATGTGAAGAGGTAGTTTGACAGTTTATGTTACATGTGTGCAAACAACTGAGTATTGGTCCAAAGTAATTATTTTGGCATATATGACACTGAGGTATGTATAACATGTTACACCACGCATATGACAACCTGCCCTGATGACACAGGATCAGCAAGTGAGTCTCATTTGATCCATAACTTTTTTCTTTATCAATCTGTGAAGCTGTCTAGGCTTGTTAATGTGCCCATGGAAAGGGTACAATAACAAGGGCTGTCTCTGTATCAATTAGATGTAGCAGTCTCCCTTATCAGTAATGCTAAAAAATACAATTTACATCTTTGATATGCATGGGGTATTTCAAATCAACATTTTCATCCACATTTTAGCTTTACATAGACATACAGTATTAGCACATGTTGAGCTACTGTGAGCAATACCGAAAGCACTTCTAGTCACAGTTAGACTTCTTACTGATAACCAGACTCTCCATGTGGTTGTCTGACCGGTCAACTGAAACACTGGTGGTGATTTAAACCATACTTGTATGCATAACATTTCCCACAGTCCACACAGCTATAAGGCTTTTCACCAGTGTGTGTTCGAAGATGGATGTTTAGAGAACTTTTCTGGGAAAAGCTTTTGCCACAGTCTAGGCAGCTGTACGGCTTCTCCCCTGAGTGCACGCGCTGGTGCAGTTTCAGGTACGTTTTTTGAGCAAATCTCTTCCCGCAAACGGAACAGCTGAACGGCTTCTCACCAGAGTGTCGCCTGATGTGGACTTTTAAACTGCTCAAATAGTTAAATATTTTCCCACAGAATAAGCACTCAAACCGTTTAGTTGGCTTCATGGGTTTTGGATGAGTAGTGAGTTCTTTTGTTGCACTGATACTGCTATCGTTTGTATAGTTTAAGTATTCGGTGATGGCTGAAGGAGGATTCGTGTTGTCAGCCAGAGTGTTCATTGTTGCATCATCTATCAACTTGTCCATAATTGTTGGCTGTGTGCGTTGTTGTGTGTGACTGTCCACCATCATGGGGAAGTTGTTTAATTCCTCTGGTTGAAGCTGCAGCTCATCAACAGATCTGTGAAGCATGCTGTCCTCCTCAAAGATTCCAACAACTGACAAATGAGAATAAATGCAATTAAATCACAGAAACCGTTTGGATTATAGTAATGCTGTTGTTTGTTTGTTTTTTAACCAAACATACTCTTTCTGTTATCTGTGAGCCTCATCTGGTGGCCAATGGGTTGATCATCATATGTCTCTTCTTTGACAAAGATGAGATCAGGTTCTCGCTCCATTAAGTCTACTGCCTACCCAAAATACAGGGGACAAATAGCTTTGAAAGCAAAAATTATTAAGTCATCTCAGCTCACTAGGAAATTGACTGTACCAGTTTAACCAAAACCAGATGCTAAGAGATTCACTGACCTGTGCTCCCATGCTTGTCATAGCAGCAGGTTCTATTGTTCCTTTCATTTGAGAGGGGAGTTTGTCCTCCCTCCACAGGTCCATGCACCAGTCCTTTCCAAAAACTCCATCGATGGCTGGAGCAGGCTGCTGCTGTTCTGAAAGAGGAAGCAGATATGAAATGTTTGGCTTCCTATAGATGGTAATCATAGGAGATATATACACCAAGATCATATATACTGTATCTTGAGAACAGCATGACTGTTGGCTTATTTGTTTCATTAACACTTAATGTTGAAGGCCACTAGTGCAGATGTGCACATCTGGATGTACCTTAGTTGTAGTGTATTGTATTGTATTGATTTATTCTTTCAAGCATGTAAAGACAGTCGATATGTCAACACACATAATTTCACACATATCCACAAATGCTAATCCATTATCAATTTGCTTATACCTAGTACATGCTTGAACGGAGTAGGAAGAAGTCAGACTTATCCAGTCCTACCCCCTAACATCATCTTACCATCATTGGTTTGCAAGCAGTATCTCTACATAGATCATTTTGTTCTACACCACGCATGTAATATACTAAAAAAATTATTACAGATTGTTAACATTCTTACATAATTACATTCTTAGATAATTATCTTCTCCACCACACAAGTAATATACTAAAGAATTATTACATAGTGTTAACATTCTTACACCACACCCACAATGTTCCACCTAATTAATCATTAAACCTGTTCATGCATATATCTTGCTTGACACATATCTTTATATTTATGTTTAAACTCATCAATTCTATTACTATTTTTTATGTCCACACTGAAATTGTTCCAAAGTTTTACCCCACTTATGGAAATACAAAATCTTTTTTTGGTTGTACGTATAGCATGAATTTTAAAATTTAACTGCCCCCTTAAATTATATCCCCCCTTCCCTTTCATTAAATAGTTTTTGAATTCCACCAGGTAATAAATTGTTCCTGGCTTTATATATAAACACTGCAGTCTTATATCCCATTAAATCGAAACATTTTAACAATTTAGACTGTATGAAAGCTACATTGGTGTGATCCCTATACCCCATCTTATGCACAATTCTTATCGCTCTTTTTTGTAATATATACAATGGTTGAAGTGTATTTCCCCAGTTTTCAACGCCATACACTAAGTATGGTAAAATCAATGAAGAATACAAAATGCGAAGTGCTTTCACGTCCAGCATATATCTAACCCTTGCCAATATCGATATATTTTTAGCTATTTTATGCTGAACATATCTGATATGAGATTTCCAGGAGAATCTGTCATCAACCATGACACCCAGAAATTTGATTTCATATACTCGTTCTATATTAGCTCCCCCAATTTTCAATTGAAGTTCATTATGTGGTCTACGATTCCCAAATACCATATATTTAGTTTTCTCCAAATTCAAAGATAGTAAGTTGCTATCACACCATTTCTTTATCTTCACACATTCCT